CTTTGAAGTTTGATGCATTTAAAAAAACCCTCAACAAAACAAAAAGTTGAGAAATTGAAATACTAGAGAGACTTGGCTTGTTTACAAGAAAGTAAAAGATAATGAGAATATATAACTTTATAAGACTAGGTTAAGTTACATTTAATTGCAAACAACTTTGTGAAACATTTCCCCTCTCTATTGTTTTTATTCCTCTCTTTAAAATGTGGGCTACAAAGGATGAATGCTTGCAGGTATTGTATATTCTGGAATTGCTTTGAATTGGAGTTGGTGAGTGTTAGAACAAATAAATCCCAGGCAACTTGTGATTTAATGTTAAAGGCACACATTCATAAATTGGATTTAGGCAGTAATTCCAGAAAAGCATACACAGGAGTATCATTTGCTTTGTGTTCATTTATTTTACAAAGATTTAGTGAGTACCCATATGTTGAAGCCTCTTCCAGATCCTCTCCAGGGTGGGGGGAGGGTAAGTAAGAGAATTTAAATATTGTTGCTCATGTTTGGTAGAAGGGAGATGCACCTTTGGTGTGGTCAGAGAAGGGAAAGGACGTTCTGATGCATGATCAGGGAAGGTTTCTTGGAAGAGGTGGCGATTGAGTTATTTGCTGAGAGATGGTTGTTCATTCTCTGAATAGTCTGTTTCATGTGACACTCTTGATTAATTACCCCCTTTCTTCAAACTGTTCCCTCATTTGATTTTCCAGCACTCTATTATCCAACACCATTTCCTATCCCTGTGTTACCTGTCAGGATTTCTATGGTTGCCATATCTATAACAGAAACAGGTCTTCTGTTCTTTCTCTTTCCTTTTTCAGAGGTACCATTTAAGTCTGAAGCTTTGAATATTTTGCTGGACAGATTTGTAACTCAGAGCTTGAGCCTAAGCTGTCTCTGAATCTCCATCCTTCATTTCCAGCTGAGGCCTCCCTAGACATTCACATTTAATTTGTCTGAATCTGCACTTTCCCCTGCAATGCACAGCCTGCCTCCCTCCCTCCCTCACTTTCTTTCCCCAATGACTGCTGAGTGCCTACCATGAACTAGGCACTAGTTTATCATTCCTTTGATTTCTCAGACTTGGAGTCTGAGTCATTTTTATTCTGTCTCCCTTATCACTCTTGTCTAAGTAAGTATTTTATTTCTGTTCATTCTTTCCAGTATGTTTTACAATCGTTTTAGTTCTCCTCATTCCCATTATCTGTATGCTTGGATCACTGCAGTGGTCTAAATGTGGATTGCCTTCATCTTCATTATCAGCATCACCATTGCTTACTGAGTGTCTACTATGTTCAGAATGTTGCTAGCATGCCATGTTCTATAGACTGGAAAATGGGAGTATTGGGGGAGAGAAAACAGACCTGGGATGATAATGGAACCCCTCATCAACTCCAAGGTGATAAACCAGTGGGGGAGCCAGCAGTGCAGAGTGAGATGGGAAAGCAGCTGGAGGAAGTAGAATCCAAGGCCTGGGAAGATGAGCACTTAACATGTGGAGAAGTTTTTGGGGAAGGTGTTGAGTGGTAAACATGTGAGGGGTAGAAATCACATGTAGATAGGAGAGTTGTGAGTGTGATGTGGTAGGAGAGTTGTGAGCTTAAAAGTTCAGCTGGGACTAGACTGTGATGCGTGTAGTATGCCCGTATGAGAAGTCCGGGCTTTGTCCTGTAGAAGTGAGGGCATAGGGAGGGCATGGACAGAATTGGGGAGAGTGTGATGTATGAAAAATGCTCTTGTAAAGAAAATGTGGAGGTAGTGTATAGGCTGGCTTTGAAGGGAAGGAATTAGGAGACCTCACAGAAGTCTTCTGTGGACAGTTTGTTTTTCTTCCTTAATTCATTCAAAACATGGGGGCTGCGAGATTAAGCTCCTGAATCATAGCTTTGGTCATATCACTCTCCTGCCCTCAGAGATTGCCTGTGCCTTGAGTGGTTCTTTGCTGGCTTTGGGGTGGCCTTTGCAATCATACTTCAGCCCACCTTTCCAACATTATCTCCACCACCTCCCCTTCAGGAACCAACATTTGGCTCTCACACAGATTTTCCATTTTCTTGAACACTGTGTGGGAAATTGTGCTGTTTGAAATTTCACCGGTCTTCTGCATGCTCATGGCCCTCTCAGCCAGTAGTAGTCTTAACCCTGCTTGTGAAACTTCCCTAGTACTTACTGCCTGTACTGTTCATTTTTGCTTAATCAACAACTGACATGATTTCTTCTGTAGCTGCAGAAACTGTTTAATTAGCATTCATATTGTTTGTATGTTTTTGTTTTGTTTCTCCAACAGTCTGTAGCATCCTTGATCCTTTGGTAGGTGGCTTCAGCCATTATATTGTCATCTACTACAGCCCCAGTCATGGTATTTTGAACATGGTAATATTTGCTGACCTTCTGCTTTGTTTTACCCTGTCAGAACAGCTACGCACATTATGCAAGATTCTTGGGGCTCAGGGCAATATCACATTTGAGGATCCCAGCTTTTACCAGGGTGGTGGGCATTGAATGAGTAGATCCTGGAAGAACTTTCATTTCTTCTAGTCTTCTTGCCCCCTTATGTAGGTGGGTTTTCAATGACCACAAGGGAGTTAGGAATATACCTTTGATTTATGTTGGGCAGTGGGTCCCCAGCTCCTATTACAAGGGGGTCCTGTTTTCTTTTCCTTTTTTTAAAAATTTTTAATGTTTTATTTATTTCTGAGAGAGAGAGACAGCATGAGCAGGGGAGGGTCAGAGAGAGAGGGAGATACAGAATCTGAAACACGCTCCAGGCTCTAAGCTGCAGTCAGCACAGAGCCCAATGCGGGGCTCAAACCCATGAGCCATGAGATCATGGCCTGAGCCGAAGTAGGACACTTAACCAACTGAGCCACCAGGCACCCCTTGGGGAGGGAGTCCTGTTTTCAAAGGGAATAGTCTAGTTTGATTCTTGTCCTGATATAATTGTCCCAGAAAACTGGGATATAATATCAACTAAGTTAAACTTTTTTGATCCCAACTACCCAGAAGTAAGTTAAAAATGGATGCTTATACTTTGCTGTTAAGTAGGTCAGAAGATCTGCAGATGCAAAATTAGCATTATATGGATCGAAGAAATAATTGCAAGTACCTAAGTTAACAAAGACTAAAGGCTGGAAAACCTTGGTCAGGGGTGTTAAAGCACTTGCTTTTTAGATAAAGGTGATATATTCTGAGGATTTTAGATTAGTTTTTTTTTCCCCACCTCCAGGGTTGGCAGGCTGGTGTGCATTAGAGGTAAGGTCTAAGTGGGGGACATGGGGTGGCTTTCTGCTTTTATTGAGGAACCTAGTGCACCAATTTTCCAGTAATATAAACCATATTAATTTGTAAGAGGTGATAATTGGGACTGTTGGTCAGCTGACTCTTCCCTGTGTGCTATGCAAAGAAAGGGACAAAAATGAATAATACAAGCAAGAGAGCTGAGAGAATGCTCAAAAGAGCAAAGTTTTAAATTCTCTTAGCTGCTATAGAGGCACTTATGTAGAAACAGCTGACCTGCTAATTAGAAAACATCCTTGCCTATTCATTAAATTAATTATCCTAAGGCATTCTACTAGGCAACACTTTGTCTGGTTCTAATTATTGTGTGCCCTTGAAAGCAATAAACTGTACTTTTAAAATAAAATTATATAATTTAGACATCTACATGGCTTACTCAGACACTTCCTGTAATTAGGGTAGGATAGTAATGAGGGGTTACACTTTGGTTTTTATTAAAAAGGCTTATCCACCTCTTCATAGGGAGATTATAATGAATTATTAAATAATGCATGTTTAGATTTGAGAACTCCTTAGAGATCATTATTGTTCAAATATGAGAGGTTTTTAAGATTATCTTTTGGATTACTTTGGATCTTTTTTTTTAAATAATGAATATCATATTATGATTAAAGATAGCAGTAAAACTTTTCTGTCATAAACTGACATTATGTTCAAATAAGAATACGGTGAATTGTCATTCATGCAGCCACATTATCCTGTTTTCCCCACTTTATTCTGCAGAACTTTTTCTAAGCTTAATCAGAACCCTGGTTAAGAAGTATAGGAAAAGAACACATACTGTATACCCAGTGGTCTGCCCATGAGAGCAATTCTGTGAAAGTGAACTGACCTAAAACGATGAGCTGGTGCTGTCGAGGAGAACCTGGCTGGCTCTTGACCAGTGCTTGGGTTGGGCTATATAAGTTTCAGTCTTAGGAGTGTATGCTTCAGAGGCCAGTGCCTGGGTTCAAAGCTTCCATCCAGCACTGTGATCTGGGCATTCTCCAGCTGGGTGACCTTGGACAACTACTTAAAGCTCTATGCTTCAGTTTTCTTATCTGTACATGGGGCTAACATTAGCTCCCACCTGCAGGGGCTTTGTGACGATTAAATGAGTCCCTCCATGTAAAGTGCTCTTTCATAGTAAGGGCTTTCTTCACTTATCCATCCAGCCATCCATCCAGCCATCCATCCAGCCATCCATCCACCCATTCTTTACTTATTCAGTCCACTCCTATCCATTGTGCACTCACTATGTGCTGGGCCCGCTGTGGAGGCTGGTGTTGGGGTACAGCAGTCAGGCAAATGAGGTCCCTGTCCTGTTGGAAGGTAAGTTCTAGGGGCAAGAGACACACTATAAATAACTAAAATTAACAAGTTCATGTAGTAAGTGTTAAAAAGACAATAGATAGGGAAATAGAGAGTGACCAGGTTGTAGAGAGAGAGGACATTGCTAACTGAGGTGGGTAGGAATGCCTTTTGAGGAGGTAACAGGTTAAGCTGAGGCCTGAGTGCCAAGATAACTGTCAACTCTGGTTAAAATAAGAAAGTTTTCTTTTGTGTTGTTGGCTCTCTCCATATGCTTATTTTAAAATTTCTTAACATCAATATAAAATCCTTTGTAGCAGGACACCACTAGGAAACCTTGAACCCCTCTCCTAGTAGCAGATAACTGTGTTCACACAAGTCATTGTCAACATCTTGGAGCTCATTGTCCCCAAACTTCATCTTGTCAGTACCCAGATCTGCCCACCCTTGGGTCTCTCGCCCTTGGCTCTAGCTGGATGCTCACCCACCTTGTTATGTCTGAGTTTCTGGAAGAGCTTGACTCTGTTGTTGCCAACTGATAGAAAGTACAGGATTGGGTTGAGGCAGCTGCTCATGCTCACCAGTGGCCTCCATATCTTATAGGCCAAGCTGGCCACCATCAAGAGCTGGCAGTCCTCTGAAGACAGGAAGCGGAGTGTGAGGTAGAGGGAGCGTGTAATGTGGAAGGGCACAAAGCAGACAGTGAAGAGGCCGCACACCAGCAAGATGGTCCGGATGGACTTGGTCCGCGCTGCGTTGCCTGTCCTCAGGAGGGTCTCTCCTGGCTTGACCAGGCTCTTCACCATCAGCGAGTAGCACACCAAAATAACCAAAGAAGGAAAGACGAAGCCGGACAGTGTTAGAACCATGCCGTAGGCGAAAAACTGGTCAAATTTTTCAGGGCTTGTCGTGTCATAGCAGACCGTCTGGCCATTGATGTAGTCTGTTTGGGAGAAGAATAATGTGGGCAGTAGCTGGAGGACCACCAGGGCCCAGGTGGTGGCGGTGCCCAGGAGGGCATGCCGGCGGGTCCGGAAGGGCAGTGAACGCAGGGGATGGCACACACCCAGGAAGCGGTGCACAGATATGCAGGTCAGTAGCAGGATGGTGCCGTAGATGTTGGTATAGAACAGGAAGCGCACCAGCCTGCACAGCAGCTCTCCAAAGAGCCACCTGTCACCCAGGGAGTAGGTGATGATGAGGAAGGGCAGCGTCAGCACGTAAAGTAGGTCAGCTACCATCAGGTTCACCAGATAGATGGTGGCACAGCTCCAGCGCTTGGTTTGGCTCCAGGAGAGCCACAAGACCGTGACATTCAGGGGCAGCCCTAGCATGAGGATGATACTGTAGGTCAGGGAGAGGTAGATTTGCTTGTAGTCTTCTGAGAACTTGCAGAATCTCTGTTCCACTGAGGCATTAGTATCCAGTGTCTCCATCTCCCGGGAGGGTCCTTCTGGGAGAACAGCTGCTCCTCTTTGTACTTCCCCTGGGAGAAAAGAAAATGGGCAGCATAGCATCATGACCTTGGCTGAGTGTTAGCCTCTCCCTTGATCTTGCATTTTATTCTGTGTTCCCAAAGTCTGGTCAGAGTCTTTGTTTGAAAGAGGCCAGCTCCAGGAAAGAAAAGTTAAACCCAAGGGCACAGCAGCCTTTAAAAGGTAAGCTTGTAGACTTACCAAGTCCAGAGGGCTGGCCTTACACTACCTTGTATGCTCTCTGCTCTAGGCTGAGTTGTGACCGGAAACTCAAATACACATGGTATAGGAAGGTGCTGCTGTCATTTAAACAGGGTATACAACCTGGAGCACTCTGACTGCTCCTCTGGCTAGAGTCCTTTGCATAGAGTCAGGAAATCTCCAAGGGGATTTTGATTTGTATCTCTTTCAGGATTTATTAACTGCATATTTGAATACTGAAGCTGATTTGCTTATTAACCATCTCAGCATCCTGAACATCCAAGAAAACAGATGTGAGCCATGAAGCCAGGTGCAAGTTCTTCCATATTCCCATCTCTGTTGACAAAGCAGATCCATAGGCAGATCCGTGTAGCTGAGGAAGCTGTGTGTGGAGCCTGCCGGACTTCTGTCCCATTGGGAAGTCTGTGAGTGGGTCAGCCAATCAGCATGGAACCTACGGGAATGAAAAGTTTATTTCTAAGGTTTAACATTCAAAAAGATAAGTTAATACAGGGCAAGAGAGAAAGATTTAAGATAGGTAATTTCGGGATAAATTGAGTGTTGACTATACAAATTCACAACAGAAGGAACCTCCGTTGCTCTGTCAGTCAACAAACATTTATTGAGCATATCTATTGAGTCTGGCAATAGGGATACAAAGATGAATAAAATCTGTCTCTTGCTATCCAGGATTTCACAGTCTGGTCGAGAAGACAGAAACCAAAACTGCTAATTATAACAGGGTAAAGAAGGGTCATCAAAATGCTGTGAGGACCAGCAGCAGGATGCAGCACTTCTCTGCTAAGGGAGTCGAGTGAAGGCTTTCCAACGAGGTGCCATTTGAGCCACTTGGGAGAAGAACAGAGACCAGGGTAAGGGGCCGTCCCGTGGGGATGGGGGAGGCAGCCCATGAAAGGGAATGGAGCTTAAGGGCACGTGTGTCCTGGGGTGGCAAGAGAGCCAGTGGGGGATGCCGTCATAAAGAGGGTGGAGGTTCTTCAGTAGGATGGTGATGGGATAGGCTGTTTGAGGAAGATCCCAGCAGCCTGGACCTGGGCCTGGAGCAGTCGGACTGGAAGGGGCTGTAGCAGTGCATGCAGGTGAGCGATGCTCAGTATCCCCAGTGAGCCGTGCAGGATGGGTGGAGGGGAGGGACCTGTCCCCAGAGATGCCGCTGGGGCAGGAATGAGAGGACTGAGTGGACTCGGGGTACGCACCAGAGGAGGAGGTGAGGGTGTCCCTCAGACTGGGTGAGGGGGTGGCGAGGCCTGAAGGTTAGGACTGACCTTCTGAGGTTGCAGGATGGTGGCTCTCCTGTGCTGCAGCTTGCCAAGCGGCTCACCACCTCGCTAACTGACTTTACAAATCTACTTGACTGGGAGAGCTAAGCTTTTTGGCTAGGTGAGTAAAAATAATCTCATTTTCTCTCATTTTGTTCCCTGTAATCTTTCATGTGGGGGGGCTTTCAAATGCTTAGTCATTTCCAGCGAAGCTGCCTTCCTAGCTCCGTGTGGGCTCTCAGAGGGAGGCCAGAGAAGGGGACCAGCCCGGCTTTAGTGCAGACTCCGCCAGCCAGTTCACACTGTGATCTTATTTAATCCTCAGAATAACCTTGTGGACGAAGCGTTATGAGCTCCAGTTTACTCCTGAGGAAAGGGAGAGTCAGAGAAGACACCCCTATCGGGTGGGCTCACTAGGCCCTCTGATCAAGTATGCTTGATCCTGATGTGGCTTGGGGGTTTCTGCTCCCTCAGAGCACATTGTGGTGCGGTGGAGAGTGCTCAGACTGGCTCTCCCAGGGACCACTCGTACAGTTTGAAACAAGCCACCTTGTCTCTCTGAGCCATCTCTGGTGAGATTACTGAGAGAATTAGGTGCAAGAAAGGCACACAGGCCCCGCAAGCCTGCCGCAAGGGCGGGCACAGACACATTTTAGTTCTTATCCCACACCCTCCTCCCTCTTTCCCTAGAGACTAGGGTGCTCTGAAAACCTGAGCTCTATTGTTTATATGCGAGGACTGGAGGGCGAGTGTGCCTTTGCCACCCCGGAAGTGGAGAAAGCGACTTTTCTTCATGGCTGTTACCTTCTGCTATGGTCTCAATTGTGTCCCCTACAAATTCATATGTTGAACACTTAAACCCCGCTGTGACTGCAGCTGGAATAAGGAAGTGATTAAGGTTGAGTGAGGTCGTAAGAGTGGGACCTTAGGTCTGTAGGATTAGTTTCTTTGTAATGAAAGGCAGCAGAGAGCTTGCTTTACACGAGGACATAGCGAGAAGATGGCCTGCAGGCCAGGAAGAGAGCTCTTACCAGAAACCAAACCTTGCAGTTTGTTCTTGATCTTGGACTTCGCAGTTTCCAGAACAGTTTCTCTGTTTAAGCCCCTCAGTCTGGTATTTTGTTACAGCAGCTGAGCAGGCCAAGACACCTTACTTGGACTTCAAGGCCAACCTAGTCTGGAGGGACAGCTGTTTAAAGTGAGAGGATGATCATCTTAGTCAAGGCGTAAGTATAGAGAACTATAGTTCTATAGGGTTTGGACTAGTGCATCCCTGAGGTTGCTGTTATGGAGAAAGGAAGAGGGAGAAAAAAGTCAGGCCGTAAAGGGTTAATTGACTTGGCAAAAGCTGTGAGTGTTGACCCCCTCCTTTCCCTTGAAGCCTCTCTTCTGGCTTGTATCATCCGCTGGCTTTTCTCTGCCTCCGTACAACTTCTAACTGTCTCCATTCACTGGGATGAATAACTGAAGGACTATGTAGCTATTTATAGAAGACAGGAAAAGAGTGGAAGCGAGGTTGGGGTTTGACAACAGAAGAGAACGTGGGGGACATTTGCCACGATGAACAGGGTTCTAAGAGGAAGCCCATACTTCCAGGACGTATGTATTGCATATGCGGTTTCCCCTCTTTGCCACCATTTCTTCAAGAGCTTTCAAAAAGACTGACACAGTTCAGAGTTGGAATTTTTTTTTTTTTTTTTTTACATGGGCTCAGTGGGAAGATGGACTTCGTGTAACAATGAAGCAGGAGTCCCCAGTGTGCTGTTAAATGGGTACCAGTTTCTGACCTTGAGCCCAGGGTTCCTCACAATGTTAGTCTCCAAAAGCCTGGGCCTGTCTCTGGGCCCCTGCTGAACAGGGGCCTCAGCAAGCCGTCCCAGGAGCAGTGGTGATCTCTGTGGACCACACTGGACATCTCCCAAAGGGGATGAGGAAGTCTTTATCATCTCAATGGTCTAAAATAGTTATGACCACCCAGGAAAACAACACACCTAAGATGAAAGAAGTGTTCTCCCTCCTTTATAAATGTTTATGAGGTGGTACATATTTCGAGAGTTCAGGAAAGGGAAGATTTATGAATAAATGTGGATAACTGCAAAGTGTTAACTGCCTTTCAGTTGTGGAGGAGTGGTTGTTGAAAGAGAGAATCTTTAAAAAAGATTCTGGGCCAAAGCAATGGGCATTGCTCATTTTCATTTTAAAACACCACTATTAGGGCATCTGAGTGGCTCAGTTGGTTAAGCATCCAACTCTTGATTTCCACTCAGGTCATGATTTCATAGTCATGAGATAGAGCCCCACGTTGGGCTATGAGCTGAGTGTGGAGCCATTCCCTCTCACTCTCTCTCTCTCTCTGCCCCTCTCCTTTCAAAATAAATAAACAAGGGTGCCTGGGTGGCTCAGTCAGGTAAGCGCCCGACTTCAGCTCAGGTCATGAACTCATGGTTCTGTTTGTGAGTTCGAGCCCCGCATCGGGCTCTGTGCTGACAGCTCAGCGCCTGAAGCCTGCTTCAGATTCTGTGTCTCTCTCCCTGCTCCTCCCCTCCTTCTGCGCACGCTCTCTCTCTCTCTCTCTCTCTCAAAGAGAAATGAACATAAAAAAAAAAAAGTGTTAAAGAAAATAAAATGCCACTATTGTATTATACATGTTTAAATCGGTGAATTGATTTTAAAATTTAATATTTTACCTATATTTGGAAACTCTTCTTGTTTAAACAGCTGAAGCTATGTAATGGAGTCTCATTAATGTGCTCAGACAGTAAAAGTTCATTTATACAACTTATTCTGAAAAACTATTGATTAATATGTGTGCTTCTTAATTTATAAAGATGAATTTGGGATGCATTATTCATATCACAACATAATTATTTGATTTTTCAACAGGTTTTTAATTTTAAAAAAAATTAATTTTATGTTTGAGAGAATGCAAATGGGGGAGGGACAGAGAGAGAGGACAGAGGATCCGAAGCAGGTCTTATGCAGATAGCAGTGAGCCCTATGTAGGGGCTCGAACTCATGAATAGTGAGATTATGACCTGAGTTGAAGTCCGATGCTCAACCCACTAAGCCACCCAGGTGCCCCTGATTTTTCAACAAGTTTTTAAAAAGTGAATCCCCTAGGTACATTTAATTAGGTGGTGGGTTAAAGTAGTTGGTGGTTTTCTTTGAATTAACTTTTCTGAAATGTTTCAAATTCACTAGATAATTTGGTGTCATTTGGCCAGCAGACCACTGGGTGGCAGATGAAGACCGACAGGTTACAATCCCCTCCCCCTCGCCCCCAAGGAAGTAGGAATTGAGGTTGGGCTCAGGTCCAGGAATAGCAGTTGTGGATGAGGTATAATTCACTGAGGACATAAAGAAAACCCCACCAACCAAACCATCTCTTATTTTTGTTTTTTGTCTATGTTACAATGCTAGGTTCACACTATGATACATAGTTACAGTTTGCCAAAAGCAGCCTGTTACTGTAATTTATTTTTAAAAAGATCTTGTGAGAGAGGTGTGACAGGCATTATTCCTCCCATTTTGCAGCTGAGCAAACTGAAATTCAGAGAGGTTCAGCAGAAGTCCCATCTGCGATGATTTGGGGAAAGCCTGCATTTCTTTTACAGTCAGAGACTCAGCACATTTCCAGATTTCCAGAAATGGTTTCTTGCCTACCTACCTCCTCCCCCTCTCCCCGCCCCCTTGCTCATAAAACAAAGAAAGAAGACATGGAAATAAAAGAGCAGGTCATCCCTGAAGCACCTATATGTAGTGCCTTTGTTATAGGAGCTGGAACCCTAGCTTAAACAGCATGATCTGGAAATAATGGTAAAGAGAGAACAATGGATAGAATTAAAAGAAAAAAAAAAAAACACCAAGAGTGAGACCTACATAGCAACCCTCCGCCCAGTTTTAAACTATACCTCGAGTCTGAAGATAAAAGACACGGACATTAGCTTTTTAATGATTATATACTATATTTTAACAGTGTAAACTTACTCCTGCTCTATACTTGGATCTCTCTCGTATATTTGAATTGTCTGTCTTAAAACATTGGAGACCAAGGGCCTTTTTTCCTACTAAGGAAAGCAAATTGGACCCTTTAAATAATTTAGAGGACTGTCTAGAAACAGTGAGTACTTAATTTCAATAATTAATTTGTATAGCAGCTTGCACATTTTTGTTTTCTGTTGACAAGGATCTGACATAATTGGCAGCTTTAAATTAGTGTAAACATGGGAAGTGATTGGGAAACATTGCTCTGACATTGTACTGTCACAACAGAGAGAAGGTGGCTGCTCTGAAACTGATGTTACTTTGTCTAGAAAAATAACCACTACTGAAAAAATAACTTGTTTATTCCATCTGCACAATTGTGTGATCCCTCAAACTGACTTTGAAATCAGAATTTTTAACATTAATGATGCAGTAAAAATAACCATAGCTATCTTGTCCTGTGGTGATGGAAGTTCATCGTTGCCTTTGGGTTCACAACCTTGAAAGGGGATCTTTATGAAACTTTCCCTTTTCCTTTCATTTGGCATCAGACAGAGATCTTTAAATGCACCACGACTGAATCTATCCTTCCCTGTGTTTTGTGTCAAGAAAATGTAGAAAGCTGGTTTGGTTTTCGGGGAGAGCAGAGATCAGTAACAGAGCCTGGGGCTCTAAGACTAGTAAAGTTGCCCAAGGCATCTGTAGAGTGGAGGGCTTGTGTCCCAGGATCCCTCCTTCCATCTGCTCTTACCCTCAGGCAGCAAGTTCCCCTCACAGCCTTCACCTAAAATACCGCTTAACGCAGCAACATGCTGACATGCTGTCCATTACCGAAGCCTTTCCTGTTGCTAGGGCGTTGCTAAGGAGCGGGGCAGGGGTGGGAAAAATCCACAATAGCTCTGGACACTGACCACATGGGGGAGGTGGGAGAATACTGTTGTCTTAACGTGAGTCGCCTGGAAAGTAGAGCCGAGGTTTACTGTGCTACCATTTTATTAGGGGGTACAGTCCTAGGGAGCAGGAATGAGGGACAAAGGGGAATAACCTGGTGAATGAGGCAGATTAAGAGGGGGACTCAGAGGTGGGCTATTGAGTTGGCCCCCACAAAAGGCAACTGCATGTTCAATTTTAAGAGGCTGTGATCTGAAAACCTGAATCAATTGCATCCCAAGATGGACCTCCCAGGGCCAGGAAAAAAGGAGACATTTGTCCACCAGTTTCTATCTCCACCTGACCAGGCCCTGCTGGTGGGTTTGTCCTGTGAGCACAGGAGAACATCAGAAAGAGGAGATGCATTTTCTCACCAAGCCCCGTTTCTCTTTTGCCCTATGAGGTGTTACCCATTTCCTTTACACACACTTCTGTGTTGATTTTGCATGGAGGATGAGGGGCTCCTGGTGTATCTCATCCCTTATCCTTTTTTAAAAATATTTTAATGTTTATTTTTGAAGGAGAGAGAGAGACAGTGTGAGTGGGGGGAGGGGCAGAGAGAGGGAGACACAGAATCTGAAGCAGGCTCCAGGCTCTGAGATGTCAGTAGAGAGCCCTAGGTGGGGCTTGAACCCACGAGCTGTGGGGTCATGACCTGAGCTGAAGTCGGATGCTTAACCGACTGAGCCACTCTGGTGCCCCATCATTCCCTATCCTTTTGTGTGAAGTCATTCTTGCAGTTTTTTTTCTGTTCACTTTTTTCTATTGAGTTGCCTTGTTTTTGTTGTTATTCATTTTTAGGAGTTCTTTACATACTTTGGATACTTTGTTCAGTTATTCATGTTATAAATATTGTTTTTTAAATGTTTTATTTATTTCTGAGAGAGAGAGAGAGAGAGAGAGCGAGCGAGCATGAGCAAGGGGGGGTCAGAGAGAGAGGGAGACACAGAATCTGAAACAGGCTCCAGGCTCTGAGCTAGCTGTCAGCACAGAGCCCAATGTGGGGCTCGAACCCACGAACCATGAGATCATGCCCTGAGCCAAAGTCGGACGCTTAACCGACTGAGCCACCCAGCTGCCCCATACAAATATTTTTTCTACTCTGTGGCTTTGCTGGCTTAATATATATATATATATATGTGTGTGTGTGTGTGTGTGTGTGTGTGTGTGTGTGTGTGTGTGTTTATATATGTGTGTGTAATCCCCAAAGGCAAGGGAATCAAGAGCAAAAATGAATTACTAGGACCTCATCAAGATAAAAAGCTTCTGCATGGCAAAGGAAACAATCAATGAAACTAAAAGGCAGCTGACAGAATGGGAAATGATAGTTGCAAATGACATATCAGATAAAGGGCTAGTATCCAAACTCTATAAGGAACTCATCAAACTCCACACCCAAAAAACAAATAATCCAGTGAAGAAATGGGCAGAAGACATGAACAGATACTTCTCCAAAGAGGACATCCAGATGGCCAACAGACACATGAAATGATGCTCAACATCACTCATCATTAGGGAAATACAAATCAAAACCACACTGAGATACCACCTCATGCCAGTCAGAGTGGCTAAAATGAACAAATCAGGAGACTATAGATGCTGGTGAGGATGTGGAGAAACGGGCACCCTCCTACACTGTTGGTGGTAATGTAAGCTGGTGCAACCCCTCTGGAAAACAGTGTGGAGGTTCCTCAAAAAATTAGCAATAGAACTCCCCTATTACCCAGCAATAGCACTGCTAGGAATTTACCCAAGGGATACAGGAGTGCTGATGCATAGGGGCACATGTACCCCAATGTTCATAGCAGCACTCTCCACAATAGCCAAATCATGGAAAGAGCCTAAGTGTCCATCCACGGATGAATGGATCAAGAAGATGTGGTATATTTAGACAATGGAAAACTACATGGCAATGAGAAAGAATGAAATCTGGCCATATGTAGCAACATGGATGGAACTTGAGGGTGTTATGCTGAGCGAAATAAGTCAGGCAGAGAAGGACAGATACCATATGTTTGCACATATAGGTGGATTAGGAGGAAGCTAATGGAGGACTATGCAGGAGAAGAAGGGGAAAATAGTGGGAGAGAGGGAGTGAGACAAATAATGAGAGACTCTTGAATGAGAGAACAAACTGAGGACTGATGGGGGTGGGGGGAGAGGGGAAGGGGGGTGATAGGCATGGGGAGGGCACTTGTTGGGATGAGCACTGGGTGTTATATGTAACCCAACTTGACAATAAACTATTTAAGAAAAAAATAAGATAAAATAGAAAAATAATTATTGATAGGGTGTTTTCCAGAAAACTAAAACTATGATATTCCTTAATTTTCCACTTTGAATATAGCAAAGGTGAATTATGTTTTATATTAATAAAATATGTGTCCTTCTAAAAATGTGTATATATATATGTATGTATATATATGTATTTTTTAAGACACATAGAAGTTCTTAATTTTAATATAGTTGCAATGATCAAGTTTTCTTTTATGGTTTGTGCTTTTTTAAAGTTTATTTTATTTTATTTATTTTTTTAAAAGTTTATTTTATTAGTTTTGAGAGAGAGCACAAATATGCAAGTGGGAAAGGGGCAGAGGGAGAGAAGAGAGAGAATCCCAGTCAGGCTCCATGCTATCAGTACAGAGCCCAATGGCAAGTCTCAAACCCATGAATTGTGAGATCATGAGCTGAGCCAAAAACAATAGTCAGATGCTTAATTGACTGAGCCACCCAGGTGCTCAGTTTGTGCTTTTCGTATCTGGCTTAAAAATCTTAATAAGGATGCCTGGGTGGCTCAGTTGTTTAAGTGTCTGAGTCTTGATTTCAGCTCAGGTCATGATCCCATGGCCCTAAGATCAAGTCCCTGCTTGTGTTCTCAATCTTTCTCAGAAAATAACCAAAACAAAACAAAAACAAAACAAATCTCCACTATCTTGATGTCATAAAGATATTCATCTGTATTAGCATATGATAGTGTTTCCCAATTAGATCTAGTTGATTTTGTCCTACTAATGGGCTTAATGTTTGTATGTGTGTGTGCATGAGAAACACAGGAAAACATGATCAGATTAGACGCTTTTTGGAGATTGGAGAACGAAGGACATTGGAAATAAGTTAGGAGGCATTTGCTCTAGTTTAGGAGGGAGAAGATATTAGCTTTAACTTGAGTGGTGAGCGTGGCAGTGAAGAGAAATGGGCAGATTCAGTTGACATTTAGGAAGTAAATGAACATGACCTGGCAATAATTAAATATGGGGCTGAGGGAGGGGTTAGGGTTTCCCCAGTGGCTTTATTATCTGCTGCTACCAACCAATGCTTTGATTCTTTTGTCTATTAATTCTCTATTTTATTGCTTCTCTCTGTTCAGTTTCTGCTTCTTTCTTGCTTCTTCTGACTTGGCTTTCGCTCTGGGCATCCTTAGGCTTCTGCTACTGTTGTAGATGGCTAACTGAACTCGGAGGCCAAGAAAATTTTCCTGAGACTCTAATTAACCCAGGTATTCACCATTATTCAGAAAGAGAAGACACACTTATGAGAATAATGGGCTTTCTTTTTCACCAAACCCCATTTTTCTTTAATAATGTCTAAACTATGAACTTGCTTTCTAAAATACATACTTAAATAGAAGCTTCTTAAGCTTCTAAAACAGTTGTGGTGGCAAATATAAAATTTAAAGCTGGTCTCCAACACAGAGAGTTTCATTTAGGCCTGTCAGAACTTTGGCTCTGAGATATTTGGTTCATATGTAAACCTTAAATTTAAATTGACAGTCCTATTAATGATGGAATGCAGCTATGTAGGTTAATGGTAAAAGAACAAAGTGGATATTTTTGAACTTTTTGTATGCAAGACAGATTAAAAACAGTAGTCATAGAGAATGCAAACAGACCTTGATGTCATGTTCAGTAAAACATGTCAGAGGTGAGGTCTCGGAAAGCACTAGACTGAAATACGAGGGGAAGGTGTGGAGTTGCAAGGGGTTTCATTTAAACACGAGGCTCCTGTATTAATATTTTCATTGATTTATTTTCATGCCAATATGTTCTGACATAAATATGGTGATCTATAATGTATCGACCATAAAAGTCAACATTATTTTTAAAGCTGACTCAGGGAAATAAAACCTCATTGTTAGTGCTGATATATATGGTATGTTACTGTGTTGAAAAATTAACCTCTCCTGTTCTGCTCCCGATTGAGCTGATAGGAGAGATGCATGCAAACATGCTGACCTTTTGTGCATGTTTTGCTTCATGACCAAAGTTTAGTTTGCAAGGGAACTGGCCCATGGTGTGTAAAGTAAAGAGCAATGCGTATTGGACATTCTTCTGAAAGGAACTTTGACAAGAATGAAAGCTGATCAGCAAGAACCTTTGTCTTTCAGAGGTTAGGCCTAGGAAACTCTCTGGGTTAGATACCGTGGAGCCCGTACCTTGAATCTTCAGTAAACAGTGAGAGTGACTTGAGGCCCCAAGATGTAGAGGAATCTGGGGATAGCGTTGGCCATGGGTGACTGCAGAGGAGAGACTCAGTCTGGAATGCCAGAGGCAGGGGCACACCCTTGTGGTCTGTGCAAGCCAAACCACAAAAGTGATAGGACCTTTTATGAAACGATTCTACGAAGTAGAGAGTGAGCCCAGGAGAGTTTAATTTAGCAGCAAAGAAAAGTATGCTGGTGAGACCTGAGTTTTTGCCACTAAGTTGCAAAAACAGTATAAAGTTTGCTTAAAATAAGAAAGTGCTGAGATTTTTAGAGCCAGAGGAACCCCTGGGTACGAGGCAGGTGTAATCACTTGATAGATGAGGAAACTGTGAAGTGAGCAGTTTGTCTAAAGACATATAGATGGTTAGTGGTTGAGCTGTGTCTAGATTCCAGACCTTCAGATTCTCTGTCCAGGGCTCTTCTTGCTCCATTTTATCAAATAGGAGCCATGAATGATAATATGCGTGCATGGAGGATATTCTATAGAACCACTTGAATCTGGTTTCCAACCCACCACTGTACTGCAACTGATCTTGTCAAGACTCTCAATGGCCTCCATATTGCTACATCCTATGGAAACTTTCTGACTCCATTTAAACCTCGAATCAGCATATGCTATATTCATTGAAACAGTCTTCTCTTGCTTTCTCCATTGGTTAGGATTTCATTGCTGGTGAGGGAAACCCATACCATAGGGGGTACCAAGTAAAACAATAATTTATTGCTCATATAATCACTGACCTGGTACGTGTGGCTTTTGTTACACATGATGCTACCAAGACTGCTTTCTCTATATTTCCTGGCTCCACTGTCTCCAAAGTGGCTCCACCTTTATATGTACTCTA